TATATCCCGTATAGTTCTATATATTCGTTCGCTATCACGTACCTGTGTTTGACCATAAATCTCGTATACCCATTTTATAGAGACTGTTATGTAAAGAGACCATCAGGACTATATATGAAATTATTAGATCTGCATTACTATAAAATTCCGAAACACTTAAAAAATGACCGAAATGATAAGTTTTTGACATAAGCCAATATCAGTAATTTTTTGATTTTTGACATGATAACTTGTTAGTTTGGTTACTGAAAAATATGAAAGCAGCTGAAACACTGACTATATGGAGTTTTTGCTGACAGAAATGAAAAATTTATCATTATCTGCATGAATGTTACACAAATATGCAATGTCTGATTCTCATACAACAATCCAATTTTTTTTAATATAGACTAGTATGTAACTCGTTGCTTACGCTGACGGGTATTGTTAAGTTATAAATATGAAATATATTTATTATAAATATAAGAATATATAGTAGTAGAATGTTTTGCAAAAAGAGAGATCATATGATAAGAAATAAATAGTGTATAGAAAGATAATAGGTAAGATGTACTAAAAGTAGAGGTTATACAAAGAGCAATATATAATTCATATGTATTTAACATTGTGTAAAAGGTCAGTGAATTACGGTTACGTAAGATAATTTAGGGTGAATTTTTATTAGCCGGAAATTTTATAACTTTAGAGGGAAAAAAAGGATATATTTCTCAAAAAAATTGGGTGTTGATGGAATAGATAGTGGAATAAAGTTTGAAAAAAATAGGTGAATGAATAAAATAGTATATAGATATATATTGTAATTAAAGTAAATAGATATTAATGTATATAAAAGAGTCAATAAGAAGTAATAAATAGTAATAAAGTAAAATTAAATAGCAAAATTTTAGTAAATTAAAATAAGAAAATATAGTAGTATATAGAAATATTTAAATAAATACTATTATTAAATTATAAAATTAAAACTACATTGTTATATTGTAAAGCAGGAGAATAATTATAAAAAGCGTGATAGAGTAAAGCAGGATTGTAAAAAGTAACGATTAAGTAAATAATATAATATTAAGGGGATGTTTTAAATATAAAGTTTTTAATTAAAGAGGAATAGGGTAATTAAATAGAGTATTATAAAAAGTAAATAGCTATTGTAAAACTTCAGGATAAACAATATTTTGTGTATAGCCTTCTTGAGAGTGTTGGCTGATTAGTAAACATTTTAGACCATGTCTTGATGTTGTTCGGGAGCAAGCTACATAAAGTTGACCGTGTGAAAATATAGAAGATGGTAAATAAATCTCTACATAGTTTAAGCTTTGACCTTGGGCTTTATTAATTGTTAAAGCAAAAGCAGGTTGGATTGGAAATTGAAGACACTTAAGGGTAAAAGATAAATTAGAGTTAGAAGGAGTAAGAGCAATGCAAGGAAAAAAATGTTTTGAGGCCAGCATTTTTTCTAGTAACAATTTGAACTTTGATGATATGCAGAGCAAAAGTGCAACAAATTAAACAGGTGCCATTATATAGACCTTCTGTTAGATTAATATTGCGAAGAAGTATAACAGAAGAACCTATTTTAAGTGTTAGTTTGTGTGGAGGTAAACTGCTCATATTAATAGTGTTTAAAAATTCAATGAGATAAAGAGTAGAAAGAGTAGTATTATTTGTTTCTTCAATAGTATCTGCGCTTAGGTATTCAATTTCATCACCAGGTAAAATGAACATTACTGTAGAATTGACTAAAGAAACATCAGTATTTTTTGAAGCGAGTATTGCACAGTCGATTAAGTAATGAAAGTTATTTGCATTAGTATTAAGATCAGAATATACGAAATTAATTAAATCGTGAAGACATTCTGACGAAATATAAATATCATCAGAAAGTTTAATATAATTTGATTTATTTATATTTCATTCTATACGATCTTCAATTTCTAAAAGCCAATTCGCAAAGTCTTGAGTTTCAAATAAAGTAATAGGGTTTAAAGATTGTTGCAGACACATATTAATAGTTAGTTTTATTACTTTAATATAGCATATAAATAAGAGCACAACAAACAGAAGCCTACAATATCTTTTCTTCTTCCTTTTGGTATTACAGGTAATATTTGGTGAAAGTCTTCTCCAAAAATAATAACTTTTCCACCAAAAGGTTTATGCTTTAATGCAGGATTTAATGCTTTCATTAAATCTTTTAGAGTTCTATCTACACATTCGAAAGCATAGTGATTAGACATTAGAGCCTCATCCCAAAGAATAAGAGTTGATTGTTGTAAAAGAATTGCTAGGTCAGAACTATGCGGAATATTACAGATTGAATCCTTATACAAATCAAAAAGGATTTTAAATTGGGAATGTGCAGTAACGCCTTCTTTTAACAAAAGAGATACAATTCCTGAAGAAGCAATAGCAAGAACTATATGACGTGAAGATCTAATTTTATCTAAGAGAACACTATAAAGAAACATTTTACCTGAGCCTCCAGGACCATCTACAAAAATTATAGCAGGTTGATTATGATTAATTGCAAATAATACAGTATTATATATAGCATGTTGGTTTGCATTTAAAAGTGTATAATTTTCAGTAGCTCTATGTTTAAGAAGTACAAAATCATAATGGAGTTTATCTTCAGGCAAGCGATTATGATGGAGATGGTCGTTATGTAAAGGTGTTGGTATAGGCATATTAGGAAAGTTTTCAAGACATGTCCCATTCTGAATTAAAATTGATTGTAGTTAAAGTAAAGCTATATTATATTTAGTAGTATTATTAGAATAATCTATTATATCATCGCTAAAGGATGAAATATATAGTAATTCAAGATTAGTAGAATGACAAAAAAGAAGAATAGTAGCAAATAAGAAACGTAGCTAAGATCCTGATTGTAAAAGGCTGGCCTCTTGTAAATATTGATCCCATTCTTTGTCATCATGAAGCATGTCCAAAGCTTTATATGCTTGTTTAAAAGTAGGGTAAGTAATATTATTAACAGTACAAAGATTAGAAAATGATTTTGCGCTACATACTATATTTAATAATATTCGAAGATAGTAGCGTTTTCTAGCTTTAGAATATACAAAATACATCTGTCCAATAGTGTTTTTATGTTGTCTTGGCTTTTATTCTTTACGTTTACGGTTATATACAAAGCGGGTAGGAAAATCGGCATATATAATATTGGAGGCTTCTTGAAATTGTTAGTTCACCTTAAACTATACAGTTAATATAGTTTCAGTAGTAGTGTCAAAATTGAGAACCTCATCAGGGATAGAGTCATTACGAAAAAGTATCATGTGCTAGTCAGGAAGATAAACCTGAAGTCTCATAATATCAGGTTTTTCATAGTGTAATTTATAGTAGAATAGTCTCTAGGCAGATTCAGAAGCAAAAATATAATAGGCATCTAGATAAAGACTAACTTCGTTAGTTTCAGAAGATTCGAGTTCATGTGATTGACTTACCTCAATTGTAGCACGATCAGGCCCCTTACAAATATATTTAAAAAGATATTTAACAGCAGCAATAGTAGAGCAAATCTTAATATTAATATGAGTGTCATATTTAGTTGCAAGATAGAGATTATGGGGACTACCTAACGATTATTTAACTTGACACCTTTAATCTCAACTGATACTCTATTATTTAAATGTTGATATACTGGATAACCATCTGCATTCATAGATGTAGAAGAGGAGAAGCTACATGGATAACGTTTAGAGCATTTTCTTTCTTGCATACAGGGCATGTTAGGAAAAGTAGAACCGAAAAGGCCATACATCATAGATCAGCAAATAGTTTCATAAGCTTTTGGATACAAAGTTTTATCTAGAATTTCAGTTGAAACGATTGCATCAAAGTCTTCAATAGATCTTGGCTTACTTTCTTCATCAAGAATTAAAAGAATATGTGAATGGGGAAGACCGCGTTTTTAAAATTCAACTACATATACATAACCTATTACTACCCAAAAATATGATTCTTCAAAATATTATTCATTAGAGCTTTTAATTTCATATTGAAAACTCTAGCTATCAAATCAGAACGATCAGATGCTAAATAATTATAGAGAAGCTCAGCAGTAATTTTAGGCCAGGTAGAATTGTACTTGAAGGTAATGAATAAATCAGATTTGCCTAATGTATGTATAATAGTCATAGCATCTTGATATAGTTGGTGCATTTGACATGGGCCTCCTGTAAAACTTGATAGAAGAATAATTCGCCTTCCTATATTTGTTATCATAGAATATCGAAACGCTTCATCATTAGTACGTAAAGTATCTTGCAACCTACTATAAAGGTTAGCATATAGTTTTTTTTGATTTTGCTTTAAAAAATTAAGACAACTTTGTTTAACATTTGCATAGGCATTTACTATATATTGCTAAAAAAGGCATCTAGCAAGATGAAGCCCTAATCCTTCTTCGGGTCTGCCTAATTGTAAACGATATGCATAATATTACAACATAGTAATATGCTTTTGATTTCTATTATACTCAACATTATCATCTATTAAAGTATTAGTATGAGATTCAAGATAGTTATCCAATTGTTAAAGGAAAAGTTGCGATGTATCACAAAGAGGAATTTGTAAATACTAGCCATCTTCGCCCCTAGAAAATAATAGTACATAGTGTAATGAGGCATATAATCTATGTAATTCAAATATTTGTTGTAATCCGTCTGAATGAAAAAGAAGTATAATATCTTGATTACAAATATCAGGCTTATTATTTTGATCACCAACTATAATTGCAGTGATTTCAGAAGCACATGGAACATTATATTGACATGAATCAGCCGATCTTGAATCTTTTATTATCATAGTCAAATTTTAAAATAGGTATTGCCACAATATAGCACCTGTTTGTTAAAAACGTGAATATAGAGATTAATATCATAAAGCATATTCTGAAGTTCAAGAAGAGTTACTTGATTCAATGAAAGCATAAAATTATATTTATTTTGAATTTCATGTTCTGTATTATAAACATAAAACTAGGTAAAAGAAAATGTGTTAGTAAATGAATAAGGAATAAGAGAACCGATCCTGTGATATATTTCCCCATGAATACAGAAACTGTAAGAGCCCATTGTTCCTGTAATATTCTTATCAATTTTAACTTTCAACAGATATAAAAGCTAAAGCAGTATTATATACGTGTATGTTTTGTCTAAATTCACATATTTTTATATTATTCTCTGTAAAATAAGCTTTTAATAAAGAGAGAAGTTCCTGTATAGTTGGAAGTATCATTTTTCCTCAGGCACAGCAAGTAGCAAACTCAGAAGAACGCTTAGAAGAATTGCTACATCATTCATCTATCTATTTTAGTGCTTCACAAAAAACACAACAATGATTCATTTTTCCA